AAAAAAATGGATTTAAATCTCCATGGATAAGCAGTACCTCTTCCTTTACTCATTTTCTACCTGCCACTGAGCCAGGTGACTATAAATTTTCGATGCTTTCTGCTTCCCCAAATAAATATCAATAGTTTGAGAGGTCTGGGATTTATGGTACAAAGTAATTTGTTGACTTATCTACAAATGGAAATTTCTAAGTAATCTGATGCTTAGATGTACAAATAAAACCAAGCTCTGAAAGTATATTGGGGGACTGTATTATAGCTAGAGGAATCTAGAAATTTTATTTTAGTGGAATTTGATGGACCTATTAAAATGGGCATGGTTAACTGTCTCCTTTGGTGACTATACTTCCCTGTAATTAGATGCTCTTTTTCAGTGTTACTAATACTAAATTTACCTGGTTTTTGTAATTGGCTGAGGTCAGTATTATCCTCTTTCTTTTCCAATCTCTGAGATGTCCAGAAAATTCTGATACTTGACTATGAGAACAAGAAGCATCCCAAGGCGCAGATCCATCTGGCTGTTTCTCCTAGTATAATACATCCCACCTATTTCCAGACCACTATGCCAAGAGATGTTTTCTGACTGTGACAACTATCTGTGACTTATTTGGCCTGCAATTAAGTAAAGAAATGGTGTCCATTAATATCTGACATGTGTCAGTCATAATGTGTCTATTATTTTGTTAACCTGTAAAAGAGTTTAGCAATATGGGACTCCAGTAAACACATGACAGCAACCTTCCTTTTCCTAACTTTCAAGGGTCTCTCCCAGAGCTGAAATGCCATAAAGGGAAGTAGAATGCAAAACCCCCCATGGAAATCCTGGGTTTTAATAGAATGAGTAGTTTCCCTGGATTTTTTTTACCTTGAAAATTAATAAATTAACTCTGTTATTTCCAACACAAGTCACTCTTGTTTATTCTGATGAGTGTAGGCATGGAACACAAGCAAGGGCAAATGTCTTTGCTTTCCCCTTTATCACTCAGGGATTTTTTTCTGAGGCATTCCAAGAAAGAATGGAAGGAATGGAACTCAGGTAAGGATAAAACTCTTTTCTTTTCTCTCATTATTATGTGATTTTTATTTCTCCTAAACCATTCCAGGAAAGAACAAATAGGAGAAATTCTGGGACTGTTCTGTTTTGCACTCTCTTTGCCCAGATACCATGTTTGCTTTGCTGAATGTAGTCTTATGCGAGAACAGAGAATATGGTACAAAAATGTGAAGATACGTCAAATTCAAGTGGTGTTCTTAGTTATCTATGAGTGTGAATGGAGACCAAACCTTTCACCACATCATTCCTGTGGAGTGCATTTGCATCCACTTCCACTGGTGACATTTTAGTCATTGTTTGTTACAGTAGCCAGGCTCCCTTATATCAAAGATGCAGAAGTCTCTAAGTGCTTGTATGGCTGAGTGCTATGGACTAAATTCCATAGAACAAAGGCTGCTGTCATGCTGGTGTACAGTGCCCTGGGGCTCTCTTCTTGAAGCAAAGTCTTTCACTCTCGGAGTTTTGATTCTTGTGAAGGGTGGGTCCTTGTTGATTCCTGACATTCCCTTAAGCCATTTTTCCTACTGTCTTGATCCAAAGTGTTTTGCTACTTTGTATTGCTGCCTTTTTCAGCCATACCTACATCAGTGGAAACTTCAAGGCCATCTGACTCTGGAGTATAGCCACCTCTAAACTGAGAATCAAGAGAAAATAGTACAGCTGAGTAATTTTAAAAGCTTTCTGTTTTCCCAGAAAGGAAGAACTTACAAAATTTTGAATGAGGAGAACTTGGTTGATGGAAAGGTTAATGATAAAAAGAAGCCAAGTTCTTTGTATCAAGATAATATGGTGATGCCTTGAGGGCCTGTGAGGAATACAGCTCACCTTTGGTAGGCTCAAAAGTCCAAAAGTGTAAGACTTTGCTTTGAGAAGAAAGCCCCAGGGCAACCTGCTCCAGAAGGGCCACCTATGTAATTTGGATTGTTTCACTGTGGTTAGTCTTTCACACACTCATAGGCCTCTGTAGCCACAAAAAAAAGAGGCTTGATTACTGCTCAAGCTGGTGTCATCATCCATCTATGTGGTGCTTGGTTTTAGGCATGTACAGTGCAAGAGTTGTGGGGTCATGGAGGTGTCCATCTAGATTTCAGAAGGTCTGGGAGGTCAAGCACTGTGCCCCTGAGAGGGCAGTGCATGAAGCTCTGAGTGAAGCCAAAAGTGCAGTGGAGACACTGGAAAGTGGAGGAGCCAGAAATGTGGAACATCTGAGGAAAGCCATGAGGAGTGAGCAAAGCCAGCCTTAGAGAGGTCATGAGGGCTACAACCATTGGCAGTGACAGAGGGGTGGGGCTGCCCAAGAGATTTGCAATTTGTGTTTCTGTACCACTTGCCTCATGTGATAGAGATGGAGCTACAGAATTAATTATTTCCCATGCTGGGTTTCTGTCTTGCTTTTGTCCCATTGGCTTCTATCTCTGTATTCTTTTTTGGAATGGGGCTACTTACCCTGTGCCATTGTATGTTGGCAGTGTGTAACTCTCTTTTGAGTTTTCACAGGAGTAACAGCTAAGAGTCTCAGAGAAGACTTTGGACTGAGATATTTCAGCAGTGATGAAATTGTTGAGACTTTGACAACTCTTAGAGATGGGCTGAATATATTTTGCATAAAGAGATGTCCATGAGTCTTTTGGGGGCCAGAGGTGGCATGTTATAGTTTAGATATAAAATGGCCCCCCAGATCTCATGTGTTTTGAAAGTGATTGAGTTATGAGATGATACAGCTGAAGTGCTATTGTGAAGTAGGGTCTAGTGGGAGGAGCTGTGTCACTAGGGGCATGGCCAAGAAGGGTGTATCTTCCTCCCTGGCTGGTAGCTTTGCTCTGCTTTTTGGTTGTCATGATGTGAGCAACTTTTCTTCAACTATGCTCCTCTGCCATGCATTCTTGCCTTGAAACCAGATGACCATAGACCATAACTATGAATCATAATAAGGCTCTCTTCCTTTAAGTTTGTAGGTATTGGGTATTGGGGCTTAGTAACAAAGGAAATGGTTAAGATAAAGTCTAAAGTAATATAATAAAACTCTCAAGGTAAAAGATAAAGAGAAGATTCCCAAGGCAGCAAGAGAAAAGAAACAAAAAAAGCATATAAGCTTTCCCAGTTTTTGGACAGAAGACTCCTACAGAGGAACCTTTTGGGCCAGATGAGAGTGGTATGGGTATCTTACAGTAGTGGAAGGAAAAGGCCTGCCAACCAAGATTCTCCTACTCAGCATAGCTGTCCTTTAGAAGTGAAGGAGAGATAAGACATTTATCAACAAACAAAGCTTGAGACAATATATCCCCTCCAGACATGTCCTATAAGAAATACAAAAGGGAATTGCTCAAATAAAGGGACCTGAATGACTATGAAGAAAATATCAGAAGGTGTAAAAAATTGCTGATAAGGGTAACCATAAAAACAAATTCAGTGTACTCTAATATTGTAAACATGGTATATAAAATATTCATGTCTTTAGTATGAGACTGTAATACAAAACAACTAAAAATAAAACTACATGAAGGTGTTAAAATAAGAAATATGGAAAGATATAAATTAGGACCTTGGAAATGCATTATGTGAGGAAGAATGGAGAACAGGTGTAAAATTTTTTATTAGGCTATTTTATCTTTTTAAAACCTTCTCTTATCTTTGTGGCCATGCCTTGTTGTTAACCTTTCAAAATAGCTTCACAAAAAGATAACTGTATAACCCTTGTAGCAACCACAGAACAAAAAGCTATGATAGACAAACCCAAAACAACAAGCAAGGAATCAAAACACAATGCTAGAGTAGATCACTTAATGATAAAGGAAGATTGTGAGAGAGGGGAAAAGAAAGAGAATGTAACAAAAATTGAAAAGTTCTAAAATAGCTTTAGCAAGGCTTTATTTATTGATAATTACCTTGAAGGTAAGTGGATTGAATTCTCCAGTAAAAAGACATAGGTTGACAATGAATAATAAAAGCAATACCCAAATCCTTTTTGCTTAGAAGAAACTCACTTCACTTTGAAGGGCACACATAGACTACAAGTGAAGACATGGAAGAAATGCCTATCAATTCTAACATTCTCAAGTTCATCTTTTAACTGATCTAATGGTGGGACTGCAATCAGCAAGAGACCCCAGATAATAAGCTCTAGAAACCACATGCAGGAAGGATAGGAATCATGGTGAAAGTCTTGTGCTCACTGATTGTGTAAAATATCTGCTTTCTTAGTACCTCACAGTGAGGATTAAATTTCAACAAATGAAACCTGGGGGCTCACTCAGTCCATGTCCAAAGCTAGCTGAAACCTCACTAGGAAGTCTGTCTCAAATAGTGTTTTCCCCAACTTATTTGAGTATGTAGTATACAAAGCTGGAGATGCAGACTATGCTAGTTACTCGAAGGATTCTTCTTGTTGGATCCTCTTGCCTCTAACTGGACAGCCGCTTTCTGATGCCCACTGACAGGGGCTCTGAGTGGTTTGCTTAGAGTTTCTTCTCCTTATACAGCAGCATACTTGCTTCCTCATGCAGTGGAATATGTGCCTCAAGTTCACACAGCATGTGGTGTGTGTGCTGGAAGAAGTATCCTTCTCCTCCAGCTCCACTGATGGGGTCCAACAGGTTTCTGTAGAGCTTACCATTTTGTTTCCCATTGTCTGCTTCACCACCTGCCAAGAAAAGGAGGATGAGTTATATGCATGTACCACTGATAGCCGTGGAGTCAATATTTATTCATTTATGCGATTGAAATACTTTTATCAGAAGTAGCCCAACTTCAAGTGAATACACTCAGGTCTCATTTAGTAGTTAAAAGCACACATTCATACAGACACTTTTCTGCCTTTCTGTTTGTTCCCATCCCTTTCTCTCCCTCAGTCTCTTTGATATTTTCTCTACAATTCTTCCCTGAATTCTTTTCTTACTGTCTTGCTCTTCCCCTGCTGGTCATGTCAGACACCCAGTGTCCAGCTCCACTTAAGGCATTAAGGCTCTGTACTGTGCAGCTTGGCACCCTTGCTGGGCCTCTCCCTTGTTCTCCTGGGTGGCATCTCTCACCTTAAGATTCTGTCCCTTAAGCATCGGAGTTATCTCTAGGAATTGGACATCTTTATTCTCCAATGGTTTGTACTTGGGCCAGTCTTGACAGGTATCATGCTCTCTATGACTAATCTGAGCCGTGTGTGGAAGGGAGCTGCTGCCCAGCTGGAAATCACGTCCATCTGATGGTTCTGGGAACACAGACTCATCAACTTTGTCATTTTCTGGTATTTGTTCATTTTTCTCATTTTCATCGTCATCTCTCTTATTTTCATTTCCACCTGTTTGATTTTCATTGTCACCTGTTTGATTTCCTTCACCATTTAGATTCTGTAGATAGTTGTGAAGGCTATTCAACAAACTCTGTACTATGTAGTCTTCACCTGCCAACATATTATCATGATCATCACTGGGCGGGGCACTGCTTTGCACAAAAGCTGGCTCCGGGTTGTCTTGAATTTGACCTTCTCTGCTTAAGGTGGTTCTTTCATTTCCCATGCCCCCTCTACATTCACTAGTCAGTAGCAACTGGACTGAAAAGTCCACATTGAAAGTTATTTCTTCCTGGAATGTTGTGTTCTCACAGGAAATGGTGTCCTCAGAGAAAGTAGGGTTCAAACTGTCTTCAGAAAACGAGTCCTCTGTGTCATAGTAGTTGCCGCTGGAGAATGAGAACTCCATGGGAAAGAAGGGCTTAAAATCTTAGTCTTTGTAAACTCAGGAAGCTTCAAAAGAAAAAAAAAATTAAGAGATGATATCAGCAAGAAGAGAGTCATGTACTGAAACACAGATGCTATCCATTTATTTTTCCATTTAGAATTACCCCATTCAGACAAAGTTCATCCTGTGCTTGCACTCACTAAGAAAACGTGTAAGAGGCAGTTGTCTCTTTAAAAATTCTTTTCCTTGTACAATAATGCTCTCTACTAAACACCTCCATCAGACTCCTTTCCTCATTTATCTTAGTACAGTTGAGCCAACTTGCATCATAAAAGAAAATGATACTGGTATAAAATTTGGAAAATGCAGGAAAGTAGGAAGGTGAAAACAGGTATGGCTATGATCTCACCATCCAGAGGTAAGGATGAAAGTCAACAGAAGAGTTTGGTAAGCGGAACATGGGGGCATGCACCTGTAAACTCAGCTCTCCAGAGGCTGTGAAAAGATCTCAATTTTGAGGTCTGTTTAAGCTACATAGCGAGTTGGAGGTCAGTTTTGACTGCACAAGGAAATTTGTTCCAAAAAAGAAACACACAGATAAAGCACTACTTTGTTGGAGTTCCATGTAGCTTTTTTTCTTTCTTCCTGTATATTGTAGGTATTGATACACGAGTATATAGTCAAGTTTGTGTACATGTGGATGTCACATCAACACAAATTGAGATTAGTACATTTTATGGCCCAGTCTATAATGAATATATATGTGGCTATTTGCTAAATCTTAACTACTCTTTCATTAGTGAGTCTATGGCAATTCCCTAATGATGATTATGTAAGATGATGTTGATTGTTAGACTTTCAGAATCATTTGAATGGTCATATTAATCGTGATTAGGCATAAATCTGTGGGAAACTGCCTTGTCCATGAATTTCTGACTGTGCCTTTCTTATCTTCCCATATGTGGAATCAATGAACCAAAGATGACAAGTATATTAGAGTCCTATGATAGTGGATAGCAAATTGGTTTTCAGAAAGGTAATAGTCGTGTATATGGTGTTTCTTATCGGGTAGTGGCATTTTTGTCCAGGTTTTTTTGTTTGTTTGTTTGTTGCTCTGTAAGTAAGTGTGAGTTGAAGAGCAGCCCCAGGCACAGCCACAAACATGCCCCTGCCCGAGGTCACAAACGTACACAACCACACGCTGCCATCTCTGCAGTGCCCTGCTGATAGATGCTCATTTGATATGCTGTCAACTGCTGGTGCATAAACATGAGATATGACGGAAATCCTTCAGCTTCTGAGTCTCTGAGTCAGAATTCTGAGTTCTAGGTTCTATTTACCGTGGCAGCACCAGAAACCAAATATAGCCAGAACAATGAAAAGAGAGGAAAACTGGAAAGAAAAACACAGGATCAACTCCCTTGCATCTAAAATAGTTTGTACATACACCATGCAGGCTGAAGAGGATATCTCCTGAGGCTAAAGGATGAATGCCATGGGGGTTACTTCCCAGTCCTGGTTATCTAAGGTGGTCCTTGTCCTTAGGAAATTTAGAGGCTCTTTGGGGAGTAGGGTATAAACAGTCTAGTATAGGTCAGGGTGGTAGATACAAGAGAAGAGCTTAAAAAACATGCCACAGGGAACAAAGATGTGCACATCAAGCAGCTAGGCTAGAAGTGGTTGGGAGACCAGAGGAGATGCCTTCCAGTCTGACAATTTCACAGAGGAGTGAAGGTCTGGAAGGTGACAAAAAGGTAGAGAGCTTGGCATAGTGGAGTAAGCCTGTAATCCCAGCACTAGGGAGGCTGAGGAAGGAAAACTTTAAGTCCAAACCAGCCTGGGGTACAGAGGGAAACCCTGTCTAAAAATTAAAAAAAGAAGAAAGGACATGGGGAGAGGGCACAGTATACACAAAGAGACTCAGATGAGAAGCCACATATTATATCAGGAGCTCAAGTTCAGTGAGTCACTGGAGGCTTCTACCTTTGCGGAGGAACCTGAACTTTTTCCTGTAAGCCAGCAGGGGTAGTGATATTCCTTTAACTGACATTCTTCCAGGCAGTTCAAAATACATTAAAATATTTCACATGATTTAAAACAAAACAAAACAAAACAAAAGAACAAAACTCCCCAGAGATGTGACTTCATGAACATTACTGGCGGACTGGGATGAGAGTAGAACCTGTGGATTTGCAGGAAAGGAGCCAGGCTGCACTGGGTCAATAAGGGAATGGAAGAAATGAAGTGGGAACGGGGAGCACAGTGCAATTTGAGACTGAGTAGAGAAAGCCAGGAGGGGAATGAGAGTCAAGAGTTAGCTTGTTCGCTTGTCTGAGTCACTTTCATCCTCCCTGAGACACAATACCGGACACACACAGCTTAAAGGAAGAGAAGTTTATCTTGGCTCACATTTCAGTAGTCTCAGCCCTTGTATGGTTGGCTGGTTCCAAGGCAGGATGGCCTGGCACAGGGGTACTGCAGAAGAATAGCTCCTTATGTCACGGCATCCAGGCAGCAAAGAGTGAAGGAAGGAGCAACAACATTGCTGAAAAATCCAAATCCAAAGTCTCATCTGAGACTTAAACTCTTATCTAGGAGTCCCCTGTAAAGATCAAAAAGAAAGTTAAATGCTGTCGACATATACTAGTGCAGGGAAAACATTCCCATTCCAAAGGGGAGGAATAAGGGAAGAGAAAACAATGGTACCAAAGCAAGACTGCAACTCAGCTGGACGAACATTAAAGCCTGTACCTGCATGTCCAGCACCGGGGGCTAGAATTCTAAAGGGCTTGGGCAGCCTAGCCCTAAGGCACCAGCAGTGGTTGTAACTCTCATGGCTTCTTTCTGGAGCTTTTGATCACTCCTTGCAGCTTTCCTCAGATGTTTAACCTTCCTGGCTTCTCCAGCATCTTGGGGACTCTATGGCACTTCTGGCTTTGCTTTCACAGCCTCCCATACTGCCTTCTCAGGGCACAATACCTGGCCTCACAGGCCTTCTGAAAACTGGATGGAAGCTTCTCTGATTCCCATAACTTTTGCATTCTGCCTTCCCATAAAACCAGCACCACATGGATGATATGAAGGCCCGCCACCAGCCAGAGCAGTAGCCAGGCCCTCTCGTATTGTGGCTGCAGTGGCCTCTGAGTGATAGGATGAGTGAGCACTGTGAACTGAATGCTAGTGAATAGTGCCCCAGACCATTCTCCTACTCCAATAGGGTGCCAAGGGCTCTTTTCTCAAAGCAAAGACTTTCATTTTGCACCTTGAAGGGGGTGAGGCCTTGCTAGTTCCTGTGATGCCCTCAAGCCATCTTTTCTATTTTACTGTTGCAAAGTACTTGGTTAAATGTTTTTCTTTTAAAAAAAATTGTAGCTCGGCACGGTGGTGCATGACTATAATTCTAGCACTCAAGAGGTTGAAGCAGCAGGATTGCTGCTAGTTCAAGGCCAGTTTGGGCTACATAGTGAGTTCAAGACCAGCCCAAACTACCTAGCAAGACCCTGTCTCAAAACTCCAATGAAATTATTTTAAATTGATAGATATTAACTGTACAGATTCACAAGGTACCAGCATAGCTGCAGCAGGGTGGGTTATAGGCACCACTCCTGTCTGGAGCACTCAACTGCTGGGATCGTAAACTGTCAGCTTTGGTAACGAATTAAAGAGGCAGAGTTTGAAATAAAGGAAGATGGTTGATTTGGAAAAGTATTTACAAAAGAAAAAGACAGCTCCTTTGGGGGAATAGAGGGTATCAGCAGAGAATATCTGTGGATTTTTGGCTTCTTTTTATTTAGGATCAGTGATATTTCCCATCTCCCAGGTGGAAGTTGTAGCCATCTGATTGGCTCTCTGAGTGTCTTTGATCCTAACCTCTGTCTACATTCTTTCTGGCCCTTTGATTTCTTTCTGACATTTTGTGATGGATAAGTGTGGGGGGAGCTTCATACAAGGGCAACTTAGAGTTAGAAATTAAGTAGAGGGGACATGTGTATCTGGTACAGCCAAAGTGATGCTAAAGCGAGAATATACATGCAAGTGTATATATATAGGTGGGTCTTTTATATATTAAATAAGAGTCCTTAGGTGGCTGCCCCTTATCTTCTTTGCATTTTTTTAGAAGCGGGTAAAAGGGCTGGTTTCCCTGGCCTTTCATGTTCCTGGCTACATCCCTGTTTTCCCTGTTGACTCTTCCTCTTAAATTCTTGTGTGAATTGTGTTACCTGGCACCTTTCTAGGTCTGTTTTCTCTGTCTTTTTTTGCTTTTGTCTTTCTAATTGCTGAGTCTAACTGCAGAGGCAAAAGTTACCTTTAATAAGATTTCCTATTAATTTCTTTAATGAAGATTGACAAGATCCTGTTTTATCTTTTTTTCCTATCTATGATCCCCGCTGTCTCTACACACTTGTTGAAGGAACTCACTCAGTAAAACTTTGCCTGCTTTCTCTGAAATGTTTAATTTTGCCCCAGGTGACGTGTTAGTGTCTTTATTGAAATTATAAACATGTTTTAAAATGCAAGTGTCCCAGGAAAACTAGATGCAACATAAATGATCTGAAAGCAAACTATGGAGGGAAAAAGAAGAGATTACATAGGGTTTTCCTCTCAGGGGGTCATAGTATGCCATAACTAAGCAGGTTCTTCACCAAAATGCACAGGAAGTAGAATCTGAGGGGCACCTGAGCAGTTCAGCATGTCACACAGTAATGTCCCTCATGTTCTCCAGAGCTGTTTTGTAACTTACACTTCATGGGGACACCTTACAAGCCTCTGTCTTTCTTTGAAACAAAAGGGGCAGAGCAGAAACAGTCTGTCTCTTTCCCTAGAGTCTGGGTGGAGGCTTAATCTTTTTTTTGTCTTTTCTATGCACATGACTTCTTTTCTCTTTTCTTTTTTCTGGGCCAAGGCCTTGGCCCTGAGCTACATCCTCAACTCTTTTTTTATTTTATTATTTTATTTTTATCTGTAGACAAAAATCTCCTGAAGTTGCTACATTGCCCAGGCTTGAAATCCTCCTACCTCAGCCTTCAATCCCTCTAGGTGGCCTTCTCCACCTACCACTATTATGAGACAGCAGAAAGAAAAGAACAAAGAACTGGGAAGGAATAAGCATGATAGGTTGTAGGAGCAAAGGTAGTGTTTCCCTGGTTGTTTCTCTGAAGAAGTCTTTGTCTGGTTTGAGGATACACCACTCAAAGTGAAGGATACTTCCAGAGAAAAGAGATGGCTGCCCGTGTGATTCGACTTGGTTTTGCAGCCCTGAGGCAGGCTGGCTGAATGTTTCTGCCGCTTTTCACAAGGATCTGAAGGTGAGGGGAGCCTAGGCCAATAGTTGATATCCAGGGCTAAGGAGGAGCTGCAAAACCTGTGGAAAAGACCCCAACCACAAGTTAAGCCATTCCTGCCAAACAACAGGCTACTTTCTCTGTTATGAACCACATGCACTTGCTGGGTGTGGCGGCACACACCTGTAGTCCCAGCATTTAGGAGGATGAAGGAGGGAGATTGCCATGAGTTCATGCCCAGCCTGGTCTGCATAGTGAGCTCAAGGCTAGTCTGAACTAAGTAGCAAGACCTTGTCTCCAAAAAAAAAAAAAAAAATCCCCACAATTTAAAAAGCAAAGTAAAACATGTCAGAAAGACACAAATAGAAACTTCTATGCTGTACCAGGCTAAACTCCTCCCTGCATTTCCAGCTCTGTCACTTCTGGGAAACACCAAGGGTTAGGAAGTAGTCTTCAGGGCCCGAGGAATTTTGTTTAGCAAACTATCCCTAAGCTCCATGCACTGAGGTGCAGGGCTCTAATTCACTAGAATGTACAAAAAAATCAAAGTTGAGTGATTCTTTCTTATCTTGCTCTTCTCCAAAAGCAACAAGATGTGTGCTCCTCAAATGAAAAACCTAGCAAATGAAACAGTGTCCCTGGCTTAACTCTATTCAGAATAAAGTAAGCACCTGCTACTTAGTGGTATCTTCTATTACCTTTTCAAGGTTTATTTTATTGGATAACCATTTGTGCAGGGGGCAGGGATTCCGTGCTAGTATTGAGGGGAGGTCAGAGGAACCTGCAACTTAGAAAGGGCAACTTTGTGGAGGAATCTGTAATCAGTGAGAAGGAGTTGAAAACAGCCAGAACAGTCCTAATATCAAGGAACAAGCCCAGGCAAAAGCTGAACTACTTTAGTGTACAGTTTGGAAATAGCGGTAACTTCCTAGGTAAGACTTGAAGGGTTTACAATCCTTTTACCTCT